TAGTCGCTGACAGGCTTTTAATGCCTGTAAGAAATGCCATTGCCAACAAATAGGCAATGAAAAGCTAGGTTCCGTATTTAAGAGGCTTCGTTTGGCCGGTTTCTTTATGAAAGACATGAAAAGACTCCGTTGCCAATTGTCAAAGTGTGCTCCTCCCTTTTCTCTTAACCATTTTGCCTTAGCTTTCACTTATAACTAGCCTTGAAAGAATCAAACTATCCCCTCAAAAAATGGAAATTTTTTGTTTCTCTCGTTGTTGTTGTTGTTGTTTTTGTTTTGATTGTTTTATAAACTCTTTTTAACAAAGTAAGGCAAGCATAGAGCGGAAATTGCAACAACACAAAAAATTCATGCCCAATGCTTTTGGGATATACGAGAATAATGCATTCATATGAGAATGGCAGTGGTCTTGTTTGTTGTTTGGTTGGCTGGGTGGTTGCCTCGGCAGGAATAGGCAATGGAGTAGTTGTGGAAAAGTAACATCTTGGTTAACATTGTTTTATTGGACATTTCCCTTGGGTTTTCTGTGGTGCCTTAGGGGAAATGAATTTGATATTGTGTGGAACAAGTGCATGTGTATGCTGGTTACTTTCTGTCTCGGAGGATGGGAATAGAGAAATTTTTTGAATTGAAATTGGAATGCCTTTCTCGCATACGGAATTGTAAAAATGGTAGTGAAAAATATATCTTTTCCAAAAAAGGAAAATAAAATAAACTTTAAAAAATTGCCATAGCTTTTTTGAGAAATTAAGAAACCTTAGACTTCAATAGTTTTACCCTTGAAAAATTATTGATTAAATTTTCCTTCAACTTTTCCCATTTAAATCTTGGCTGGAAACTCTCAAGTTTTCTCTTGCTTCAGTTATTTCTTTCCAATTCCCCTTTTATCCTTCTCCCATTTTGCATCCTAATCAGTAGCTGTTTCATCTCAAAACAAATTAACCATGATTCTACTGCAATGGCCAACTCAATGGCTGAATCAATTAGAGAAGAACTACAGCAAAACACGAGATTAAAACAAAATTATAGAGAAAAAACTCGAAGCATGACGGAAGAAGGAGAATAGAAGAAGTGTGAATTTGAGAGAATTATAGTAAAACACAATGTTTTACAAAACAGAACAAAGTTAACGACCAACATCTGTCCGTTTGTCTGCCCGTCTGCCTGTCTGGCAGCCTGTCGATGCTGTCAAAGTGTTGTAGAACGAGAAAAGCAACAACACAATACCAAATGACTGCTATTTTAAGCTGCCATTGAGAAAAAGAGTTGCAGACAAAACAATAACAGATAGGCTAAAGAAAGAAAATTCTTGGAAAAAAGAGAGCAAAAACGCTTAACACTCATCTCAATCAAGTTTAAGTGAGGTGTCAATGAGAAGAAAGTTTGTAACTTATGGGATGAATGGGGTATATAAAGCTTATAAATTAGCGAGCAAAACTTCAAAGCGATCATTTGGGGAGAAAATTTTGTCAGACCTATCATGATATTGGCTTGAAAACTTCTTCAGACTTTCAGCTGCTCTCTGTAAGCTCGAGACCTGTCAGATTGTCCATATAGGTTATCCTTCCCGAATCTCAAGTAGTCCCTGCTTTATGTGAGCAATGTACGCTTTTCGAGCTATCTGTGTCCAATAAAAGCCTTTTCAAGCCTCCCAATGTCAAAGTAAGCCTTTTTCAAGCCAAGCCATTCATTGTCAGCTGGAGTCACTGGTTCCGAAATCTCGTCCATATAGACATCTAGTCCTCGATCTTAAGTAGTTCCAGCTTTTTGTGAGCAATGCAAGCTTTTCGGGCCATCTGTTTTCAATAGAAGGCCTTTCAAGCCTCACATTGTCAAAGTAAGCCTTTTCAAGCCATTCATTGTCAGCTGGTGTCACTCTATCCGAAATCTCGTCAGCTCGTCCATTTAAACACCCTGTCCTTGATCTTAAGTAATTCCAGATTTCTGTGGGCAATGTAAGCTTTATGGACCATAAGTGTCCAATAGAAACCTTTTCAAGCCTAACAATGTCTAAATAAGCATTTTTCAAGTCATACATTGCGTATTACTAATTTTTGCCGTATCGAAAATTGAAGCCAATTTCAATCTTCCTGAACCCTTTTTTAATCTTCTGTTGACCTTCTGTGTGCAATAGAACCCAGTTCAAGCCACACAATGTCTCAAAAAATGTTCAAGCCTTTTTCAAGCCATGCATTGCATATTACTAGTTTTTGCCCTATTGAAAACTGAAACCAATTTCAAGCTTCCTGGACTGTTTTCAATCATCTGTTGACTAGAAGTTCTTTCAAGTCTCACAATGTCTAAGTAAGCCTTTCCAAGCCTTTCATTTTATATTACTAATTTTTGTCCAATTTAAATTGATGCCAACTTCAATCCACCTGAACTGTTTTTATTCTTCTGTTAGCCATCTGTGTCCAACAAATACCCTTTCAAGCCATACAATGTCTATATAAGCCTTTTCATGCCTTTTTCAAGCCGTTCATTGTGTATTACTATTGAAAACTGAAGCAACCTGAACCACTTTTAATCTTCTGTTGACCATATCTACGCAATAGTAGACCTTTCCAGGATCACAATATCTAAGCAAGCCTATTTCAAGCCATTCAATGTGTATTACTATATTTCAATATTTGTTTCAAATCTTTCAAGCCTTATTTTTCAATCTTTCCATTGATAGTAGAGATGCAATTCAGGGCGCCTATAAAAAAAGTAGACATGACATGGTATACTGCCTTATGGAAGTCTTACACTGCCTTTTTCAAGCCTTCCATTGTCCATTTCAATCCTTTAAGTGATGTGGGATAGGGATTTTAGAATTTTAATGGCGCTATGAAGACGACCTCCCATAAATGCTATTTTCAAGTCATACACAGCCTTACGTTAATGCAAATGCTATGGGAAGCAGATTTCAAAATTTTAATGGTAGAAACTGCTTTAGCTCATCTAAAAAAGACGACGTTTCCAGATCGTCTAAAAAATTGATCTCCAGGCCGTCTTAAAAAGACGACCTCTCCAGATCGTCTGAAAAAGAAAACCTTTCCAAATCGTCTAAAAAGGAAGACCTCTCCAGATCATCTAAATAAAGACGACCTCCATGCAGCTCGTCTATGAAGACTACCTCCATCTAGCTCGTCTATGAAGACTACCTCCATCCAACTCGTCTATGAAGGCAACCTTCATCCAACTCGTCTATAGAAAAACGACCTCCAGAGCTCGTCAATAGAAAGACGACTTCTATCAAGCTCTTCTATAAAAAGATGACCTCCAGAGCTCGGCTATATTAAGACAACCCCCAGAGCTCGTCTATGTAAAGACGACCTCCAGATCTTGTCTATAAAAAGACGACCTTTACATTTCGTCTATGAAAAGACGACCTCCATCTCGTCTATGGAGACTGCCTTCCAGCTCGTCTATAGAGTCCCTTCCAGCTCGTCTATGGAGACTCCCTTCCAGCTCGTCTATGGAGACTCCCTTCCAGCTCGTCTATAGAGACTCCCTTCCAGCTCGTCTATAGAGACTCACTTCCAGCCCGTTTATAGAGACTCCCTTCCAGCTCGTCTATATAGACTCCATTCCAGGTCGTCTGTAGCGACTCCCTCTAGCTCGTCTATAGAGACTCATTTGCCAGCTCGTCTATAGAGACTCATTTGCCAGCTCATCTATAGAAACTCCCTTCCAACTCGTCTATAGAGACTCCCTGAACAGCTCGTCTATAGGGACTCCCTGCCAGCTCGTCTATAGAGACTCCCTGCCAGCTCGTCTATAGAGACTCCCTGCCAGCTCGTCTATAGAGACTCCCTGCCAGCTCGTCTATAGAGACTACCTGCCAGCTCGTCTATAGAGACTACCTGCCAGCTTTTCTATAGAGACTTCCTTCCAGCTCATCTATAGAGTCTCCCTTCCAGCTCGTCTATAGAGACTCCCTGCCAGCTCGTCTATAGAGACTCCCTGCCAGCTCGTCTATGGAGACTCCCTGCCAGCTCGTCTATAGAGACTCCCTTCCAGCTTGTCTATAGAGACTCCCTCAACAGCTCGTCTATAGAGACCTCCTGAACAGCTCGTCTATAGAGACTCCCTGAACCGCTCGTCTATAGAGACTCCCTTACAGCTCGTCTATAGAGACTCCCTGAACAGCTCGTCTAAAGTCATTTTATCCAGCTCTTCTCAGCTCATTTTTAGATCCTCTCTTCAACTTGCTTCGCGCTCTTCGGTAAAGGCACCCTCCAACTCATCTTTAAAGACTCCTTCTGACTCCTTTATGGAGTCTTCCCCTTTTCGATTTATATTCATCTTTGCTGCATAGAGCTTTCTCGAGTTTCATAACACCATTGGTGTCGCTTTCTATTTCTTTTTTGTTTGTCCGGCTAACCAACACAATCAACTTTGACATTGATGCGACCGGCCTGGAATTGGATGGGAAAAAAACGAAAAAAAAAAAACAATTGTCATACAAACCGTTTAATTCATGTTGTAATTAATCCCCAAAGTTGTAGCCCATGCAACATGACAAGACCATGGCATAGGAACTTATATTGACTCACAACCTTAGCATGGGAAATGTTTTTCAATGAGTTTGGTCGGAGTTGGTTCATGCGGATGACTATGTTGATTGCTTAGATTACTTGCGGAGTGTTGTGACCATCAATGCATTGGAAAAGTTTTTTTTTTCCCGTTTTTTTTTTCAGATTTTCTGCTAGAGTAGAAGTTCTACATCCAGAATGCTTGTTGAGTGATTTTGGGTTTCTTTTTTTTTGGGAGAGTTTTGGGAATTGATACATGTTGGGATTTTCATAGGTTTAGTTTTTTTTTCTTTTGAATGGAGGTTTTTTTGTTCTAGCAAGGATATATCCAGGAACAGCTGAAATGGATTTGAATGTCAAAAAAAACAATTTTCCTTCAAATTCAGTTCCAAAATTAAAAAAAAATCATTTAAAAAAATTCAAAATTGTTTTCAACTGACCTTTGACATTAAATTCCTCTTTCTTTCCTTCCTTTTTCAGGGTTGCAAGAATGTCACCAACACGGCTATGCCCTGTCTGGCCCACGAATACCAGTGCAAGGATCGCATTACCTGCCTCCACTCCAGCTGGTTGTGTGATGGCGAACGTGATTGCCCCGATGGCGATGATGAGGTTCTGAGCAATTGTAAAAATCGCACCTGTCGCACAGATCAGTTCCAGTGCACCGATCGCTCCTGCATTGCTGGCCATTTGACGTGCAATGGCCAATATGATTGTGCGGACAAAAGTGATGAACTTAATTGCGGTGAGTCCGAAGCGAATGCTTCATTTGTGCGACAAAGGAAATAATTCGGAAATTCTAATTTCCTTCTCTTCCAGGCATTCGTAAGCAAACTGTTTGTGATGTCAAAACTCATTTCGATTGTGGTGGTGGCCAATGCATCCCCTTGGCCAAGGTTTGTGACAAACGCAAGGACTGTCCCGATGGTGAAGATGAACCGGCCAATAAGTGCGGCATTAATGAGTGTGCCATGGACAATGGTGGCTGTATGCATAAGTGTGTGGACCAGCCGGTGGGCTATCGATGTGAATGTGAAACGGGGTAGGTGAAAGGATAAAAAAACTGCAAAAAATATTTATCCATGGAAAAATTCGAGGTTATCTCCAATGGAAACCCATTTTTTTCCCTGGGAAATTTTTTCATAAATTTTAAAATTTTTTTTTTGTTAAAAATTATTAATTTTTCTATTTTTTTCCTATTTCCTTCAATTTTCTCAGCTACAAACTAATCAACAACAAGACCTGTATCGACATCGATGAGTGTGCCGATAACCCGGGGGCCTGTTCCCAAATCTGCATCAATGAGATAGGCGGCTATAAGTGCGAGTGTATGGAGGGTTATATGCGTGACCCCCGCAATCATACCCGCTGCAAGGCCACCGAGGGTCATGCCTCGCTGCTGTTGGCGCGTCGTCATGACATACGGAAAATTGCTTTGGATCACATGGAAATTACATCGATTGTGAATAATACAAAATCAGCGACAGCTTTGGATTTTGTGTTCCGCACCGGAATGATCTTTTGGAGTGATGTGACCACACAAAGTATTTACAAGTGAGTAAGGGGAAATTTCAAAATTTTCAAATGAGTTGAAGGGTTATCCATAATGGATGTGTGTGTGTGCGTTTGGAGGTCCTTAATGGCCTCGCAAAATGTTTAGATGGGTTTTGTATTATGAGGGGAAATTCCCCCTGGTCATCAACATATCAGCAACTAAACTTCCCCTATCACGGCCTCTTTGTTTCATCTGAGTACCACCTGATTTGTAAAAACAAAAAAAAAAATATTCTTCTTATTATGGCCGATGACATTTTTGTTCCATGGCAGCCACTAGGTGGTCCTTTCAGTGTGGTTTTAATTGAAATTTACTGCACGTCAGAAAGTTTTTTTCTAGAGGCCCTAGATATTTAAATTAACTCATTTTTATTTGCCGAAGGGTTGTATTTTTTTCCTGGCCCCCAAAAACAGCTGGAAATGAATCCCTTAAATTTGCTTGCCACACAGCAAGCTTTTTTGTGGCTTTTGATAATGGCAACGTTTAGTTGTTGTAATTTAATTAAAATCCCAAAAATAAAACGATTTAAACCCTTGTGGTTTGTCTGTCATTTGGTGGTACATGGGGTCGTATAATGGATATTTAGAAAATAATATTCAGGGGTGCATTTCAAGCAAAGGAAACGCAAAAATAGAGTTTGCCACTGGAAAGACTCCAATTCATCCTCGAAAAAAAATGTTTTACATTGGTCCTTGTAAAAAATATTTTTTTTCATTAGTCCTTGAAAAAAATATTTTTCAATAATTTTTCCCGTTGGTCCTTGAAAAAATCTATTTCTAGATAATTTCTGCTGTTCCCTGAAAAACAAATATTTGAAAAAAATATTCTTAAAAAAATCCACTTCTGGTTTTCCATGGCTGAATATAGTTTCCCGTGGGTGGATTTTTCCATTGGTCCTTGTAAAAATCCACGTCTGGTTTTCCATGGCTGAATATAGTTTCCCATAGGTGGATTTTCCCATTGGTCCTTGAAACAATATTCTTTAAAAAATCCACGTCTAGTTTTCCATGGCGTTTGTAGGTCATTTGGACCTTGACAAAATATTCTTTCAAAAATCCATGTTTGTAGGTTCTTTGGTCCTTGAAAAAATATTATTTAAAAAATCCACATTTGTAGATCCTTTGGTGCTTGAATAAATATTCTTTAAAAATTCCACGTTTGTAGGCCCTTTGGTCCTTGAAAAAATATTCTTTAAAAAATCCATGTTTATAGGTCCTTGAAAAAAATTTCTTTAACAAATCCATGCTTGTAGGTACTTTGGTCCTTGAAAAAATATTTTGTAAAAAATCTAGGTTTGTAGGTCCTTTGGTCCTTGGAATAAATATTCTATAAAAAATCTACGTTAGTAGGTCCTGAAAAATATTCTTTAAAAATCCAAGTTTGTTCTTTCTTTTGGTCCTTGAAAAAATATTCTTTGAAAAATACACGTTAAAAAAAATATTTTTAAAAAAAATCTAGGTTTGTAGGTCCTTTGGTCCTTGGAAAAAATATTTTTTAAAAATCCATGCTTGTATGTACTTTGCTCCTTGAAAAAATATTCTTTAAAAAATCTAGGTTTGTAGGTCCTCTAGTCCTTGAAAAAATATTCTTTAAAAAATCCAAGTTGGTAGGTCTTTTGATCCTTGAAAAAATATTCTTTAAAAAATCCACGTTTGTTCTTTCTTTTGGTCCTTGAAAAAATATTCTTTGAAAAATACACGTTTGTAGGTCCTTTAGTCCTGAAAAATATTCTTTAAAAAATCCACGTTGGTAGGTCCTTTGGTCCTTGAAAAAATATTCTTTAAAAAATCCACGATTGTAGGTCTTTTAGTCCTTGAAAAGATATTCATTAAAAAATCCACGTTTGTTAATATTTTGGTCCTTGAAAAAATATTCTTTAAAAAATCCACGTTTGTAGGTCCTTTGGCCCTTGAAAAAATATTCTTAAAAAAATCCACGTTTGTAGGTCCTTTGGTCCTTGACAAAATTTTAATTAAAAAATCCACGTCTGTAGGTCTTTTGATCCTTGAAAAAAATATTCTTTAAAAAATCCATGTTTTTAGGTCCGTTGGTTCTTAAAAATGTTCATCAAAAAATCAACGTTTATAGGTCCTTGAAAAAATGTTCTTTAATAAATCAACGTTTATAGATCCTTGAAAAAATGTTCTTTAATAAATCAACGTTTATAGATCCTTGAAAAAATGTTCTTCAAAAAATCCACGTTTGTAAGTCCTTGAAAAAATAATTTTTTTTAAAAAATCCACGTTTATAGATCCTTGAAAAAATATTCTTTAAAAAATCAACGCCTGTTGATCCTTGATTTTTTAAATTATTTTTGAAAAAATCTACGTCTGTTAATCTTAAAAAAAAAATAAAATGCACGTCTTTTGATCTTTAAAAAAAAATGAAATAAAAAACTCACGTCTGTTAATCCTCGAAAAATTTTTTTTTAAAAGAAATCCACATCTTGATCCTTGAAATAAATATTTTTGAAAAATCCACGGATACTCTTTGACCTTCCTAAATAATATATCCCATAGAAAAATGAGTTTTTTTCTTTCCATTCCTCTAATCCCATTTTTCGGGAAAATGTTTTTCCCATATGGTTTCCAGTTAATTTCGAATCATCAATCTTTCAACACCCCCACCCACACACACACACACACACATCTTTCATTTTATATCCAACCAGCCAGCCACAGACAATTGCTTAATTTTTTATTCATTGTCCTTTTTTGTTTGGTGTATCCATATCCTTTTTTGCTCTGTGGCCACAATTCATTTAATTCATTTCATTTCTCTGGTTCTCACAGGGCACCCATTGACGAGGGCAGTGACAAAACAGTCGTTCTCAAGGAGCACACCGTAACCTCCGATGGTTTGGCTGTCGACTGGATTTACAATCACATCTACTTCACCGACACACACAAATGCACCATTGAGCTGACAAACTTTGATGGTAATATGGGTAAAGTGCTCATCGAAGATGAATTGGATATACCTCGGTCCATCGCATTGGATCCCATAGAAGGGTAAGTACACAAAACAACACCAACAAACAAACAAATAATCAATAAGCGAGAAAGTATGAAAACCACAAAAGAAGATAAGAGCAGAAGAGAAACCTCCCTCTCTCTCTCTCTCTCTGGCAGACGGAGAGTATTAGACAGTATAAGAAAAGGCCAGGCGTTGTGAACATCAAACCAACACATCCGCTTGATTGACACTTGACATTATGATGAAGAAGAATAAGTGGTTGACATACGACCTCAAACCTCCCCCAACCCACAACTCCGGCCAAACCAAGGCCCTTACAGCCAGCCAGCCAAGCAAAATCTTGGTAATAAAATCCTCAATAAATTGTTGTGCTTTAGTTGGCCATCCCATGCCATTAAAGTTGTAACACATGCTGTGGACTTTGTTTTTTTTTTCTCTTCTACATTGGAAACAGTTTCTTATTCTTCTTCACACCAACCATTTAATACTTTAAAACCATTTTCTTTTCCGATTTTACACAGCCACTGTCTTATGAAGACAGACATTTTCATTTTCTTTTCATTCCTTTCTCACATCATAATTTTATTTCCCATCTCCTTCTAGTTGGATGTATTGGTCCGATTGGGGCGCCTCGCCACGCATCGAACGTGCCGGCATGGACGGTTCGCATCGCACAACAATCATCAACTACGATGTTAAATGGCCAAATGGCATCACATTGGACATGGTGCGAAGACGCATTTACTGGGTCGATGGCAAACTGAACATCATCTCATCGGCCAATTATGATGGCTCGCAACGACGTCAGATTTTGTATTCGACGGAATATTTGCGTCATCCCTTCTCCATAACCACATTTGAGGATAACATATATTGGACGGATTGGGATAAACAGACCGTTTTCAAGGCAAACAAATTCAATGGAGAGGGTGTAAGACCCATAACAGCTTTGCATATGGTAAGTACGATTATCGTGCGGGGAGAGAGAATGTGTGGGAGGTAAAAAACAAACAAATAATTTGAATAAGGAGGACAAAATAGTGTTGATCCTTGAAAAAAATATTTTTTAAAAAATCCACGTCTGTTGATCCTTGAAAAAAATATTTTTTAAAAAATCCACGTCTGTTGATCCTTGAAAAAAATATTTTTTAAAAAATCCACGTCTGTTGATCCTTGAAAAAAATATTTTTTAAAAAATCCACGTCTGTTGATCCTTGAAAAAAATATTTTTTAAAAAATCCACGTCTGCTGATCCTTGAAAAAAATATTTTTTAAAAAATCCACGTCTGTTGATCCTTGAAAAAAATATTTTTTAAAAAATCCACGTCTGTTGATCCTTGAAAAAAATATTTTTTAAAAAATCCACGTCTGTTGATCCTTGAAAAAAATATTTTTTAAAAAATCCACGTCTGTTGATCCTTGAAAAAAATATTTTTTAAAAAATCCACGTCTGTTGATCCTTGAAAAAAATATTTTTTAAAAAATCCACGACTGTTGATCCTTGAAAAAAATATTTTTTAAAAAATCCACGTCTGTTGATCCTTGAAAAAAATATTTTTTAAAAAATCCACGTCTGTTGATCCTTGAAAAAAATATTTTTTAAAAAATCCACGTCTGTTGATCCTTGAAAAAAATATTTTTTAAAAAATCCACGTCTGTTGATCCTTGAAAAAAATATTTTTTAAAAAATCCACGTCTGTTGATCCTTGAAAAAAATATTTTTTAAAAAATCCACGTCTGTTGATCCTTGAAAAAAATATTTTTTAAAAAATCCACGTCTGTTGATCCTTGAAAAAAATATTTTTTAAAAAATCCACGTCTGTTGATCCTTGAAAAAAATATTTTTTAAAAAATCCACGTCTGTTGATCCTTGAAAAAAATATTTTTTAAAAAATCCACGTCTGTTGATCCTTGAAAAAAATATTTTTTAAAAAATCCACGTCTGTTGATCCTTGAAAAAAATATTTTTTAAAAAATCCACGTCTGTTGATCCTTGAAAAAAATATTTTTTAAAAAATCCACGTCTGTTGATCCTTGAAAAAAATATTTTTTAAAAAATCCACGTCTGTTGATCCTTGAAAAAAATATTTTTTAAAAAATCCACGTCTGTTGATCCTTGAAAAAAATATTTTTTTTTTTAAAATCCCGAAATTTGATATTGAGAGTTCTCTTGGAATGTGATGTTAAGTCTGGTGGCGTGGCTCTGCAAATGCATAATATATTGGTTCAAAAAGTACTAAATGGTACTAATCTTGGATCACTATTGGTGTCTAGGATAAAGAAATGTAGATTGTTTTGGATATGCGTACTCTTCTAGCAGAAGTGGAGGTCTAATAGTTTTCAACCTCCCATAACCACAACGGCTTTGGCCTTTTTATACCCTCCACCATACTATGGAGGGTATATTAACTTTGTCATTCCATTTGTAACTCCTCGAAATACTCATGTCAGACCCAACAAAGTATATATTTATTCTTGATCAGCGTAAAATTCTAAGTCGATTTAGCGATATCCGTCAGTATGTCTGTCTGTCTGTCCGGCTGTCTGTCTGTCTGTCTGTTGTAATCACGCTATCTTTCGAACGAATTGAGATACAAGGCTAAAATTTTGCACACAGGTTTATGTTTACAGTAGGCAGGTTAAGTTCGTAAATGGGCCATGTAGGTCCAAGTTATCATATAGCCCCCATATAACGGTACCCCCCGATATTCGGTATTTTGATGATTTTAGAGACATTATTCAACGGAATTGTTTCAAATTACCTCTTTAGAGTTCGTAATGGAAACTCCAGTCTGTGACGGAAAATTGTCTATGCAGGTCTAGGTCTTCGTATAGGCCCCATATACCAGTACCTCCCTATATTCGGTATTTTGATGATTTTAGCGACATTATTCACCGGAATTGTTTCAAATTTGGCATTTTAAGTTCGAAATAGATACTACAGCCCAAGGCACAAAATTTGAATATGGTAACGGCTTATGACAAACAATGCCTATGTAGGTCCATGTCGTGTAGACCCCAAAATGACGGCTATATTCGGATTTTTTTTTTTTAATTTTCACAGGTCATTTAGTCCTTGAAAAAAAATCCTTAAAAAATCCACGTTTCTAGGTCCTTTGGTCCTTAAAAAAAATCCTTAAAAAATACACGTTTGAAGGTCCATTGGTCCTTAAAAAATCATTAAAAAATCCACGTTTGTTGGTCCTTGAAAAAATATTCTTTAAAAAATCCACGTCTGTAGGTCATTTGGTCCTTGAAAAAAATAGTCCTTAAAAAATCCACGTTTGTTGGTCCTTGAAAAAATTTTCTTTAAAAAATCCACGTTTGTAGGTCCTTTGGTCCTTGAAAAAATATTTTTTAAAAAATCCACGTTTGTAGGTCCTTTGGTCCTTGAAAAAAATAGTCCTTAAAAATCCACGTTTGTTGGTCCTTTGGTCCTTGAAAAAAATATTCTTTAAAAAATCCACGTTTGTAGGTCCTTTGGTCCTTGAAAAAATATTCTTTAAAAAATCCAAGTTCGTAGGTACTTTGGTCCTTGAAAAAATATTCTTTAAAAAATCCACGTTTGTAGGTCCTATGGCCCTTGAAAAAAATATTCTTTAAAAATCCACGTTTGTATGTCCTTTGGTCCTTGGAAAAAATGTTCTTTAAAAAGTCTAGGTTTGTAGGTCCTTTTTTACTTGGAAAAAATATTCTTTAAAAAATCTAGGTCTGTAGATCCTTTGGTCCTTGAAAAAAATTTCTTTAAAAAATCTACGTTTGTATGTCCTTTTGTCCTTGGAAAAAATATTCTTTAAAAAATCTAGGTTTGTAGATCCTTTGGTCCTTGAAAAAAATGTTCTTTAAAAAATCCACTTGCGTAGGTCCTTTGGTCCTTGCAAAAATATTCTTTGAAAAATCCACGTTTATAGGTCCTTAGAAAAATATTCTTTAAAAAATCCGCGTTTATAGGTGCTTGAAAAAACGTTCTTTGAAAAGACCACGTTTATAGGTCCTTGAAAAAATATTCTTTGAGAAATCCACGTTTATAGGTCCTTGAAAAAATGTTATTTGAGAAATCCACGTTTGTAGGTCCTTTGGTCCTTGAAAAAATGTTCTTTAAAAAATCCACGTTTACAGGTCCAAAAATATATTCTTTATTTCTTTCGTTAATACATTATTTACCGTTTACTTCAAGTTTCAAATTTGAATGTCGTATAGACCCCAAAATGCCGGCTATATTCGTTTTTTTTTTAAATTTTCACAGCATTTTTTAAGGTTTCAATTTTTTTGAAAATTTCTAAATTCATTCCAAATGGTGGAGGGTATTCATAATTCGGCCCGGCCGAAGTTACTGCTTTTTAACCTGGTCTCCTTCAGTTTTAAACCTCCCACAACCACAACGGCTTTAGCCCTTTTTATAGCATGACATAATTTCCTTAAAAAATTATTTATTGTCTCCGGTTTTGTACTTGTTGTTGTTGTTGTTTTTTTTTTTTGGTTGCAACACACCTCCAAGGTGTTGAAGTACCATGAGGGTGTTAATAAATTTAAAACCCTGTGAAGTGAAGCATATTCATGGCGCGATGACACGCCATGGTGTTGTAAATCTTTTTGTTGCAACTGGACGATGACCGTGTGTACACGTGTGTGTGTGTGTGTGTGACAATTAAAAGCCACTATATTTTGATGGTGAAAACTGTGGCCATTGTTGGTGTTGTTATTGTTTCTCATTTTTTTTTTTTCTGTTTTTTTTTTCTGGTTGTCCTCAACAACATTACCACTACAATAATAATTCATGATTTCCTCCAATTTTTTCCAAGGTATACTTTTGGGGATACATGCAGATGTGAGTTCGTGTGTGTGTGTGAGTGCATCACTCCTGCTGCTCTGACGATGTTGAGTTGGCTTGGCACAAAACTTACAAACTTGGTTGCGGTGGGGCAACGTGTTATGCCACTTCATGTATGCGTGTATAAATCTTGTAAATTATGAAGGATATTCTGACACCAGATTGGTAGAACACTGGTCTCATAGTCACAAACACACATGCACGCACATACACTCTCATATATATTATGAAATAAAATTTTCGCACACACACACTCACACACTTTTGGTTTTACACACAAAGGACCATCAAGGATTTCCATACGCACATAAATTATGCAATAACCAGCCACGCAGCACCAGAAGCGTATGCAAGCAAACGTGCATAAATAAGTTCGCTGCCAAAGAGTAGCAAAAGGAGGAGAAGATGATGCCAAAGGAAGACAAAAAAAAGAGGCAAAATGCCAGCTGTAGTTGAAACCCGGCCACCGGGAAACTACTACAGCTGTAAATCCGTTTCGCTGTTCAAGTTCCAGTTTCATTCTCCATGCCTTAGTTTTCTCTCCACTGTTGCTGCTCATTGCTGTCATTGTGGCAACAACAACAACAGCAACAACAACAATTTCAGCATTTCAAGGAAATGCAACAAATTTGTCGGAATGCGTTGATGTGTTCATCCTTGGGATGGAGGATGGGCATGAATTATTATAATTTGATTTGAAACCCACAAGACAGCGGCAACGGGTGTAGGGGCGAGAGAAAGGAAATGCATTCACACACACACTCACACAAATGTGATTTATTTATGGGTGTGACATAAGTTCTGGCGGATAAATTTTGAATTTTTTCTTCTTTTCCGAAAAATATTTGATCTCAAAAAAAAGTTATTAAAGAAAGGTTGAAAAGAGGGGCGAAGCAATTCGCCGCATGCCCTGTTGGGCATACACTTAGGCCAGTATAGGCCTGTTGTGCGCTATAGGCTAAGGGTGTTTTGAAAAAGGCGGGCAGTTTAAAGTCTGTTTTCTTAACTGTCTTATATCATTTACCATGGTTTGATTAAGGTCTGGTATGAAGTCGTTCCCTAAGAATTGCGATCTCAAATTTGCAAAAGCTTTTCTACACATCCTATCTTGTACATATGAGCTTGTAGGACCAGGTGCCCCGTAACAATGCCTGTTACCTCACTTATCTCTTTTTTACCTAGTAATAAAAGGTTTTTCGTTTTAATCTCATCGGGATCGCCCCATAAGATTTTTGCGATTCTCCCTACACCCCCATTGTTCCATGAGGATATGTGGGCGTTTTTTGCCCATGTCTTTAACACTAGACGTGACGCATTAAGCGGCACTGGATTGTCTACGTTTATTGTTGTTAATTCCCTACCTGTTTTGGCGAGAGAGTTTGCTATCTCGTTACCCCCAACTCCCGTATGACCAGGTACCCATATAATGCGTACTACGCCGTGTTGAGAGTAGTTGTTGATTGAATTTATACATTCCATTATAGCCCTTATAGCTGACTTGCTGTCCGTTAGGACGTTTCAATTCCAGACACTCTGCAATCTCCCGGACCTCCGCTTGCAGGATCGTATTGGGATCAGGCAAGCGGAAAGAGATTTCGGTGTTTGTTTCCTCGATAAGAAGTCCCAGTCCCGCTCTTTCCCCTAGCACTGAGCTGTCTGTATAACAACAGTTTCCAGACGGCATTTGTGGTAGGAATCCGTCGATCCACGAGCCTATGGTAGGGATTAATATTTCACATGAGGCAGCTACAAAAGTTTCAGATATTCGGTACGATACAAAAAAAAAAAAAAGAAGAAAGGTTAGACATTAACTTTAAGACAGCACCGGGTAGAAATGCCCATTTCAGTGTTCTCCCCATTTTGTTATGCTCTCATTACACTGTTATGCTTTCATTTGAATGTGAGTTTGAAGAGAATCAGGCTCATTGCAGCTACGTGGGGCTCCATTTGCCTGACCCTGTAATAAACCCTGAAAATATCGGTTCTTTAAGAGAAATGCTCTATCAAAGCTTTGAAATATAAATCCCATCTTTTGTGGGGAAATCGGGAGGAATATTTTTCGAATTATTATTTTTTTTTTTTTTTTGTAGTTTTGTAGTCGTAGCTTTTCACAGACGTCTGGTCGGTCTGTTGGTCGGTGCTTCAAACATCTTAGGTTGATAAGAAATTAAGTCTTGCGACAAAACAAATTCTTACTAATTAGCGGGAATTAAGAATTGAAAATACTGATAAGAGTTTTGAAAGATTTAAAAATTCACAAAAAAATATATATGAACGGATAGAGTAAATTGTAGACATCAGAAGAAAAAAACTGCAATAAAGTCAAACGTCATAATTTTATTTTAAATTTGTCGGAAATAGCATCAAATTATAGAATAAGTTCATATTTGTTCGAATTGGTCATCTTTGGCAAGAATTATGGCCTTCAAACGGCCAATGAAACCATCACACGCTGCCCGAATGTTGCTCTGCGTTATTTTGACCCATTCCCGGCGAAGCGCTTGCTTGAGGTGATCGAAACAATGGCAATTTTTAGTTCCAACCTTGTTTTCTAAAATACTCCAGACACAATAGTCCAACGGATTGGCATTCGGAGATTTTGATGGCCATTGTGCGCTGGAACATCATTTTGTAACCATTCTTGGTTGGCCTGTTATAATGTCCAAGGTCTGCGACCAAAATGTTTGCGTGCCCAAAGCTTTAATATATCCTCCAGAATATTTTTGCTATTATTTTCGGCATTTCTTCTGATGCCACGGTCGGCCCACACCATATGTTCGTCCGATTTGCCTTTTATTGTGCACCAAACGTGTAATATCAGCCGAATAGTATAGAATTTTGCACATACAACCAAATTAGGCCTAAACATAAGTATGCCAAATTTGATCGATATCGGCTATAGCCCCCATATATAATGTTCATCCGATTTGTTATTTTTGTCCTCCGCAGCCGTAATATGCACTCTGTAACAACAATATTTGGGCAAATATATCAAATGTAGCTCAGAAATACATTTGCTAAATTTTATCGAGATCGGTTCAGATTTGGATATATCTCCCATATATAACTTCGGCCGATTTACTTTTTATTGTGCACCAAACGTCTAATATATGTCCAAATGGGATGAAATTTGGTACTTACGACCGAATAGAGTCTAGAAGCTAGTATATCAAATTTGGTGAAGATCAGTTCAGATATAGCTATAGCTCCCATATATATTTTTAATCCGATTTGTAGTATTTGTTACCAAATGCGTAACAACGATATTCAGGGAAATATATCATATTAAGCCTGAAAATAAGTATGCAAAATTTGATCGAAATCGGTTCAGATATAGCTATAGCTCCCATATATATGCTTCATCCGATTTGTTATTTTTGTCCTCCGCAGCCGTAATATGCACTCTGTAACAACAATATTTGGGGAAATATATCAAATGCAGCTCAAAAATATGTTTGCCAAATTTTATCGAAATCGGTTCAGATTTGGATATAGCTCCCATATATATCAAATGGGCAATACAAGTCCGAATTTAAAAGATACAAATGGTTCGGCATATTTAGTCCTTTGAACTTTAAATTATAATTTTAATCATAGCGTGTATGATTGAATTTTCCCATAAAAACGTTTAACTGTTATGTGGAGCTCTACTAAAAAATAGAGCTCTACTCAATTTTTAAATATCTAGTTACCCTTAAAAATAGTCTTGAAAAAATTCAGCTACTGGTTCGTGGAATATATTCTTTTCATACATTCCCAAATTTTTAAAGATACTGGTCCTGGAAAAATTATCTTTAAAAAATTCATCTTAAAGGGCTGGTAGTTCTTAAAAAATCTATCTAAAAGATCCCTGAAAGAATCCACGTCAGAGAGGCTACTACCTTGCTTAATATTAAATCTTCAACAAGTAAAACAGCAGCTAAGTTCGGCCGGGCCGAACTTTTAACTCCTTCCACCATTTCGAAGGAAATTAAAAAATTTTAAGAAAATTCCGAAAACTACCACTTAAATAAAAACCGTTACATGGGGACTATACGAAGACGTGGACCTGCATAGGCTGTATTGTCCATTACAAACTTCAAATACGAAGTTCTAAATAATTCCGGTAAATAATGTCGCTGAAATCATGATGGTGACTATACGTAGATCTGAACCTGAATACAAAATTTTTTGCCATAGATTGTAGTACCCATTAGGATCTTCCAGTACGATATTTAAAACGATTTCGGTGAATAATGTTGCTGAAATCATCAAAATACCGAATATCGGGAGGTACCGTTAGATGGGGGCTATACGAAGACTTGGACCTGCATACAAAAATTTTTGTCATAGGCTTTAGTAACCATTACGAACATCAAATTCTAAATTTGAAATAATTCCGGTAAATAATGTTGCTGAAATCATCAAAATACCGAATATCAGGAGGTTCCGTTATATTTCGGCTATATGAAGACGTGGGCCTGCATACAAAACTATTTGTCATAGGCTGTAGTACCCATTAGGATCTTTCAGTACGAAATTTGAAACGATGTCGGTGAATAATGTTGCTGAAGCCATTGGACTTGGACCTGCATACATTCACATTGGGAAACTTTAAATACGAAATTTTAAGTAATTCCGGTAAATAATGTCACTAAAAACATGAAAATACCGAATATCGGGAGGTACCGTTATATGAGGGCAATACGAAAACGTAGACAGACATGGCCCAATTACGAACTTAACCTGCCTACTGGTAAACTATGCATGTATGCAAAATATTAGCCTTCTATCTCAATTCGTTCGACAAATAACGTAATTACAACAGACAGACGGACATTGCTTGATCGTCTTAGAATTTCACGCTGATCCAGAATATATATACTTTGTAGGGTTTATTATAAATATTTCGAGGAGTTATAAACGGAATGGCAACGTTAATATACCCTACATAGAATGGTGGAGGGTATAAAAATCATAGTTTTAGTTTCCTCTGATTCTTGAAAAATATTCTTAAAATATCTACGTCAGGAAGGCTAGTAGACTTTGCTTTTGAGTCTTGAAAAATTACTCATTTCAGGGATATTAATTCTTGAAAACATTTTATTAAAAATTCAAAAATTCAGAGGACTAAAATATTATTCCAGAAACATATTTTAAAAATCTACTTTTCTTTGACATAAAATTGTGAAAATATCTTTAAAAAATCAGCATAAATGTCCTGCAATCCTGTAAAAAAATCCTTGCCATATTTTACTGTTTTTATCATAATTTAATTTTTTCCTAAATTTTTCTCTTCCCCCGCACAGCTACAACATCCCATGGTTATCCATGTCTATCATCCATATCGCCAGCCCGATGGCGTCAATCACTGTCAAGCTGTCAATGGCCATTGTTCGCATTTGTGCCTGCCGGCGCCGCGAATTAATGAACGGAGTCCACGCATCTCGTGTGCCTGTCCCACAGGTCTAAAGCTTATGGAAGATAGGCTGATGTGTGTCGAAGATCGTAAGTACAAAATTTTGCATTTTCCATTTATTTCCATAAATAGAAATCCACCAAAAATTTTTGATTTCAAAATTTCAAATATTTTTACATTTTAATTTTTTTAAACTTTCTTTTTTTGTTAAAAAAAATAAATTTTTCTTCATCTGATTAATGTGTGATCGCCATGTTGTTGTCACTCTGTGTGAACACAGCCACATATCGAACAACCACCACAAGTAAACCAAAGATGAACTTTAATTTAACGACATCTTCGCCAGAATCATTCCCTGATCTCAAACTACCTCAGCAAGTTGCAGGAGCTGGCATTTTAGAGGGTATGCAAAAAAAAAAACGAAAATTGTTTTAACCTTTGTTATTTTTCCCATTACTGGTAGTGTGGTGGTGGTGGTTGGTGGGTGGATGTTGTGGGAATGTTATGTTTTGACATTCCCTTTCACATCGCCCCCCCAAAAAAAAGAAACAGAATTGGCATTAGCGTTGAATAATAAAGTTTTGAAATTGTCACGTACACTTAACTGACAATTGCGTTAAACATTTATTCGAATTTTTCCAAAAGCTCTATTATTGTTTTTGTTTGTGTTACTTGCTGTATGTCATTTGAATTTGTTTAGTCTTTTTTATTTTATTATTTTTTTGTTAGTTGTTTTTTTTTTATTATTTTTGTCTTGTTTCTAGAATTTTTAGTTTATCTAGTTTTTTTTTGTGGTGTTGGTAAATTATTTTATTTTAATTCATTTTTTTATTATTATTGTTGTTCTCTTCTTCATTTGTATTCCTCCCTCATGGTTTTTGTACTTTTTTAGCATTTGGTTTTGTAACTTTTCCTTGAAATGTATTTTTTCCAGTTGTAAATTATTTTAAATTGAACTTTTAATGTATGTTTTTTTTGTTTATTACATTTTAATTAATTTAATCAACAAACAAAGTTTGGTCAGTTTATGTTTGAAAATTTCGAAACTTGTTCAACTTAATTAATTAAAGGTCGGAAAGTGCGAAAATGGGTCAGAAAATGTGCTGGTGTCATGACAAACATTTATTTATAATTAGTTCAGTGAAGACAAATATTGGAAAATAAAATTGCTTCTAAATTTCGGAATTCTAGATTCATAAAATAAAATCTCCAATAACTTTCAATCTTCCGAGGTCAAAATTAAAGACCTCTAAGAAGTTTATTTTAGGGCCAACTTTAAATTTCAAAGCTTGGGACTGCATTAAAAAAAAATAAGGGTAGACTTTTAAATGTTTTCTAAGACCCATCCTCAGGCTTTAAAGTGACCGAATATTTTAAAGGATTTGAAGTGCATACTAAAGGGACGTGGGTTTTTTTAAAGAATTTTAAGGGTCTACTGTCTACAAATCCCAACTTCAGTTCCTCATAAGAAATTTCTCTACCGAAAAATCCCAACCTCGCTTCTGAAGAGAATTTTTTTTAATGACAAACAAAACCTCATTTTCTGAGAAAAAACTCAGAGAAAATTTTCTAATCCTCAGCGGCTAAGGAAAAGTTTGGCTGAGGAGAAATTTTTCTAGCGAAAACCCCATCCTCATCTACTGATGTTAAAATTTTTCTAAAGAAAAATCCATTCTCAGCTGCTGAAGCTAAAAAAATTAAAAAAAAAATCCATTCTCAGCTGCTGAGGCTAAAAATTTTCCAAAGAAAAATCGATCCTCAGCTGCTGAATAGAAATTTAAAAAAAAAAAAAATCCAACCTCTGCTGCTGAGGCTAAAAATTTTCTAAAGAAAAATCCTCAGATTCTCAGCTGCTGAGACTAAAAATTTTCTAAAGAAAAATCCATCCTGAGCTGCTGAGGCTAAAAATGTTCTAAAGAAAAATCCATCCTCAGTCGCTGAGGAGAACATTTTCTAAAGAAAAATCCAAAAATCCTCAGTCGCTGAGGAGAAAATTTTCTAAAGAAAAATCCATCCTCAGTTCCTGAGGAGAAATTTTTCTGAAGATAAATTCATCCTCAGCTGCTGTGGCTAAAATTTTTCTGAAGAAAAGTCCATCCACAGCTGCTGAGGCTACAATTTGTCTGAAGAAAAATCCATCCCCACAGAAAAATCCATCATCAGTTGCTGGAGCAAAAAAAAAATTTAAAGAAAAATCCATCCTCAGCTGCTGAATAGAAAATTTTCTAAAGAAAAATCCATTCTCAGCTACTTAGTAGAAAATTTTCTAACGAAAGGCTTTCTAACGAGAGGCTAAACATTTTCTAAAGAAAAATCCATCCTCAGCTGCTGGGGCTAAAAATTTTCTAAAGAAAAATCCATCCTCAGCTGCTGAGGCTAAAATTTTTCTAAAGAAAAATCCATACTCAGCTGCTGAGTCTAAATATTTTCTAAAGAAAAATCCATACTCAGCTGCTGAGTCTAAATATTTTCTAAAGAAAAATCCATCCTCAGATGCTGAGGCTAAAAATTTTCTAAAGAAAAATCCATCCTCAGCTGCTGAGGCTAAAAATGTTCTAAAGAAAAATCCTTCCTCAGCTGCTGAGGCTAAAAATGTTCTAAAAAAAAATCCATCCTCAGCTGCTGAGGAGAAAATTTTCTAAAGAAAAATCCATCATCAGCTGCTGAGGCTAAAAATTTTCTAACGAAAAATCCATCATCAGCTGCTGAGGCTAAAAATTTTCTAAAGAAAAATCCATCAGCAGCTGCTGAGGCTAAAATTTTTCTAAAGAAAAACCCATCATCAGCTGCTGAGGCTAAAATTTTTCTAACGAAAAATCCATCATCAGCTGCTAAGTAGAAAAACCCATCCTCATCGGCTGAGTTGAAAATTTTCTAAAGAGAAATCCATCCTCAGCTACGGAGGCTAAAAATTTTCTAAAGAAAAATCCATTCCCAGCTGCTGAGGCTAAAAATTTTCTAAAGAAAAATCCATCCTCATCTGCTAAGGAGAAAACTTTTAAAGAACTATCCATTATCAGAGAAATTTCCAAAAATCCAGTTTTTTAGGATTATAAGCCGTCCTCTCAAGTAGTATGGGGCGAGATTTATTGAGAATTCAGATCGAATGGCCTTGCTTACTTAAAGCCCCACATCCGCCTGGATTGCTTTTCGGTACGATTTTCAAGTCCAAATAGAGTAGATTTGCGAATCTCGTTTCTGGCCCAAAAAATCCATATATCTATGGCCTATTTTAAGATAAAAAGACCACAGAATTTTAATGAATTTTCCACATTGGATCTTCAGATTTTTTTGGAACCTCTTTAGAACTAAACATGATATTTTTATATAACTGTACCCTACTGTAGCCTTGGCTTATTTGTTTTAAAATGGATTCCTTTAAATTTTTAGTGTCCAATTCAGGGCAAAAGTAGCACTTGTTTAAGAATTTTTAAGGACCATCCTCAAAATGTGTGGGATATTTAAAATTCTTTTCAATAATTTACTAATTCTTATTTTCGAATTTCATTTTTTCATGTTCCAAATTTCAAGAACTTTAAAGTTTAATATTTAAATAAAAAAAGGCCTGTCAAATTTCAAAGATGTTTAAGAAATTACTGGAGAAAATTTTGGGTGAAATGTAGTATCCCTTTTCATAATGAAATTTCAGGATTTTTTAGAAAACGCTAAATCCCTTAACAGATTTTAAGAACTTTAATTAAATATAGGGAATTTTCTTAGATATATTAAAGCCTATCTTCCGTCTAACAACTGAGGGTCAAAAATTGTTTTCAAATCACCTTTGAATAAAAATTCTCTTGTTTTCAAACTTATCATTAGTTATTCTAAACGATAAAATGTTTCTCTCCCATTTTCCTTAAAAAAATATCTGCTCTTATCCACCAAACGGAAATCCTCTTCAATTTCCTACTTTATTTTTTCCCTCTCCCTCTCTCTCTCTATCTGTCTGTGTGCATGAGAGCGGCCTCTTCGCTCAATTCTCATTTGCTAGTTATAAATGTAAACATTTCCGTTTCCGTTTTGGAGAAGTACCACTTTTCTTCATTTTCTCTCGTTGCTTATGGAAAAAACAAGTTGTTTGTGTAATTCGTTGTTTTTGTTTTGGATGGCTCTAGAAATAATTGTTACACATCTTGACAAGAGTAATTTGTGATTCGTTGGCAGTTGATCTCTCTCTGTCTGTCTGTCTGTGTGTTTGTCAGTCTCTCTGTGAGTGTCAGTGTAAGTAGTGAATGCCTTTGTTTGCCACCTGCTGAACTGACATCATTAATTCATTATGTTGTTTTTCTTTCTTTCTTTCATTCACCATTCTTGCTCTTCCATCATCTTCATGGTAATAATAATCTCATCATCGTCATCGCCATGATTACTATTACCACACACACATACACTGACATCATCAACGTAAAATACAACTACATGTAAAAAAATTGTGCGGGATGATCATTATTTTTTTCTGGGGAATTAAAATTGTCCTGCTGAATACTGACAAAACTTAATGATGATGGAATGTCCTTTCATAAAAATCCATACACACACATTCGCACCTACATGCCTTTATTTTTTATTGGTGCTATCTCTCTTCCACACCCGAAAATCCCTCTCTTTTAAATATAAAAGAGAACTTGCCATATAATTACAAAAAATATCCTGAAGACTACTATTACTATTATAATAATGATGAAGATACCGATGCCGAGGTAAAGGATACTGATTATCCTGCAGATCCTTCGGATGATGTGGTTGCAAATGTTGTCGACAACAATTCAACTCATCATCCATTTGAGTCGCATCCCAGCCATGCTGAGCATCAGGAGAAAAATGCAATAATTTATGCTGAAACTCCAAAATTAATCAGCCATCCATCCATCATCGGAGGCAACGACAACGACAACAATAACAATAATGAACAGCCACCACAGCTGATGACTGGCGGTGGGAGCCGGCACCAGTTACAGCTTAAAGATTTCCCTGGCATTCAAGAGGAAGATGAGCATTTAACGGCAGCAGCAACAGCAACAGCAACATATGATGATTATCCTTTGCTCTATCTGCACATCATGTGTACGATGTTGGAAAATTATGATTTACTGGAGGAAGGCGGCAGCGGGAGGAGCAACAGGCAATCCGATGATGCTGGTGATGGTGATAAGGATGATGGTATTGACGATGATGTTGATGAAATGCATCAACACCAGTCAACATCGTCACCATCCTCATCATCAACCCAGCAACAGTTGCTGGAAAATGCTGGTGATGATGGAGAAATTTCCCAACAACAAATCAAGGACATGAAAGGATCTGTTATGTATGCAATTGACAGACTGGATAATCACAACAATAATGATGTTCATGATGATGATGATGCCGAAGCTGATGATGATGCAGTTAAAACTTATCATA